CTCGCTGGAGCAGCAGCTTTTGAGCTGTGGTTAGAGAAACCCCAGGTGCCGTCCTGGTGGGAAGGGAAAAGGGGGAAATCCAAACCATGTGGTGATGCCCCATAGCAATCTCTGGCCTTCCAGCAAACTGGCTGGGTGACCTTCCAGGAAAAGCCAGCGTGGATTTATTAGTGACTGTGGAGAAAGCACCTTCCCACAGCCCTCCCTGTGGCTGGAGCTGATGGACAGTGCCGGGACTGAGCCCATCAGCAGCACCAGGTACACGAATTCCTGCAGCCCACTGGGCCTCTTCCCACCTGGCTGTGCCCAGGGAGCTGAACAGTCCCACAGGGAACCACAGCCAGGCCACACACCCCAGCTGTGCTCTCACACCTGGCACAGCTGGGTCCAGACCATGTGGAACCCAACAAGGAGCAGGAAGAGCATGGGGGACACAGAGACGGGGTCAGGCAGCAGCTCAGAGGGCACAGCTGTCCAACATTTTGGGTCTGACGGAGTGGGAGAGCTGTTGGGCAACGCCTGCCCCACCGCAGGCTCTCCATGGCCACAAGCAAGGATTGTGAGCACCCTCTGCTCCAGGGAATGCACCCTGGAATCTGCTGAGCTCTCCATACAATCACCAACATCTCATTTCTTTTGCAAAGCCTGTCTGGAAAGTCAATGTTTTATGAACCAGGCGCCAGGGTGGGAGCTCAGAGCACCTCCAGGCCCAGCTCCCAGGGGATGTCTGGGGTCCCTGGCACGGGCCAGCCCCCAGCTCGGCTGCCCAGGAGGCAGGCAGTGCTGTGCCCTGGGGAGGCTGAGCTGCCAGGCCATGGCAGTGCTGTGCCCTGGGGAGGCTGAGCTGCCAGGCCATGGCAGTGCTGTGCCCTGGGGAGGCTGAGCTGCCAGGCCATGGCAGTGCCCCAGCCCTGGGGAGGCTGAGCTGCCAGGCCATGGCAGTGCTGTGCCCTGGGGAGGCTGAGCTGCCAGGCCATGGCAGTGCTGTGCCCTGGGGAGGCTGAGCTGCCAGGCCATGGCAGCGCTGTGCCCTGGGGAGGCTGAGCTGCCAGGCCATGGCAGTGCTGTGCCCTGGGGAGGCTGAGCTGCCAGGCCATGGCACTGCCCCAGCCCTCGCTCCCAGCCTGGCCCCGGGCTCTGGAGAGGGGGTCGGGCAGGACATGGAGCATCCTGGAGGCACGGCCGTGGCTCACGTGGCTGCTCAGCCCCTGACTCAGCGGGCGAGCACCCGATGAAACTCACCCCACCCTCCCGAGACAAACCAGCACCCTGGCACCTCACCAAGGGAGCTGCCAAACAGCCCACGCCGTGGGGTCCTGCACCCCACAGCATCCCTGCATCCCTCTGCCTGGCGAGGGGCCAGCCAGTGCAATAAATGCGCCACAAATGCAACACACAAACAAACGGCAGCAGAACCACTCCTACTGACCCTCTTGAGCCCACGGTCACCCACAGCCCACCAGAGGGAAAACTGGCCTTGGGGGACAGCCCTTTCCTCCACGAGGCACCTGGGTGGCGTGGGGCAGGCAGGGACAGGGCAGGGCACGGGGATTGCCCCGGTGCTGACTCAGCCTGTGGCACACGTGTGGCTGCCCGCAGCCCAACACACCCGGGCTGTGGAAACACTTCCCACTGCACCCACTGGCCCCACGGATCAGAGCACCCCACGGATTTGGAAAGGGTGACACACCCTCACGGCCACATCCTGGGAGCCCCTGAGCCAAAATCCTCCTGCCCAGGGAGCTCGGATTGGAACACGTTCCCCTTCTGCTCCTTGTGCTGCTGGAAAGCCACAAAGCCCTGCCCTGCTGTGGCTGCCCGGCTGTGCTTGACATCCCTGGGGCAGGTTGAAGGTGGGGAAGAGTAAACTGTGGTGTAGGCATGGAAACTGGAGGGGATAGATGGATGGAGGGATGGATGGATGGATGGATGGAGGGATGACAGATGGATGGATGGATGGATGGATGGATGGATGGATGGATGGATGGATGATGGATGGATGATGGATGGATGGAGGGACGGATGGATGGATGGATGGAGGGAAGGATGGATGGATGGATGGATGGATGGCAGCTGTGGAAGGCAGCCTGCTCCCCTCTCATCAGACCTGCGTGACCCTGAGCACACCCTGCACAGAGCAGGGGAGCACCCGTGATTAAGATAATAGCCCTAATGACCAGCTAATGGCCCGTGGTCAGGCGCACCCTTCGGGAATGTGCCCGGGACCCACCACGCCGTGCTCACCCCAGCACAGCCCGCGGGCATCTGCCAGGCTGGGCTGGGGAAGGTGGGTTCACACTCATGGAATATCCTGACCAGAGTCCAAGTCCTGACCCTTCCAAAGCCATCAGCCCCAAAGGCACGGCGGGGTCATTGGTCACCACTCAGAGCATCCTGGCCCTACACAGTCTTCAGATCTTTTCCAAGAGATGCACAGTTGCTATGGAAAGGGGAAAAACCAGTCCACAACACGATGTCTGCCTTAGAGGAGAGCTGCTGCTGCCCCACATCCTGTATGGGTGGGAGCTCAGGCTGCCTTCCCAGGGCTGAGTGTGGGAAGGAGCTGCCATTCCCTTTTAGCTCTGTTCCTGCTGTGTCCCTGGCTCAAAGGCCTCCCAGGTTTCCCTCTTTGCATCCTCTGTCCCACACCAAACACACACAAAGCTCCTGGCAGGGTGCAGGTTAAAAGGACGAGTTGCACCGGCATTAGAAACACCTTTGCAGTTGTGTGAGTAGTTAAAAACTGCCCAGGATGAGCAACCGGAGCTGTGCAAGAGCCTTTTTCTCACTCTGGTGGTGAGGGGGAATGAGGGGTTCAGATGCTTGCGCAGGGAATCCCACAGGCTGCCACTCAAAACCCATTTTTGTCTCTCCCTACGCTGCCCGTGGCCAGGAAACACCACCCAGGCTTGCACAGCCAGGGCTCCGAGCCCCCGGCCCAGGGATCCCAGCTCCAGGGGGACACCCCGGGGGCTCAGCCCAGGGATCCCAGATCCAGGGGGACACCCCAGGGATCCCAGCTCCAGGGGGACACCCCAGAGGCTCAGCAGTCTCTCAGCTCCTCACAGACCTGATGAGCACCCGGGGATCACCCGGGGATTTGTCTCTGCCCCTGAGATGGTGCAGCTCCAAGGAAGGCAGCAGTACTGATGCAACACGGAGGCAAAAAAAACCTTGAGCTTGGAGAGCCCAAACCCTCACATTTTCATTTTTTTTTGGCCTTTGGAGGTTTTCTTAATTTGTCTATTTTTGTTCCTCGCCCACCTCCGCGCGGAGTGTGACGCGAGCCCTCGCTGGAGAGGCAGGGTTTGAAGGGAGAGCTCTGGCTGCTATAAAGCAGCGAGGTTCTTGGAAAAACAGCCTCTGGAGCAATAAACAGATTTGGAGCTGAGGGCTGTGAGGGACGGCTCCATCTGGGCTGCTGAGTCATGAAACCTGCCCGAGCGAGATACCAGCCGAGGGCTCGGGCTGGGGGAAGCTTCCTATGAGGGATTTGGGCTATTTCGGTCCGAGCGTGCGACAACAAAACCAGAAAGTGAACAAAAGCGGGCTGGGGCGGCCACGCTTCGCTCCAGCAGCAGCGGGGTTAAGGCAGAGGCTGCCCTCCTCCTCCTCCTCCTCCTCCTCCTCCTCCTCCTCCTCCTCCTCCTCTGCCAGTGCCAGCCTTGTCCCATGCCATGGTGGTGCAGCAGTGGGAGCAGAGCCTACACCTCAATCCCATAGTTTGCAGCCGAAAACAAACTCTCTGTCCCCTTTGCTGTGTGGATCCCTGAATCCACAGCATCCTTCCATGGGGATCCCAGCCCGTGGCATCTCTCCATGGGGATCCCAGCCTGTGGCATCCCTCCATGGGGATCCCAGCCTGTGGCATCCCTCCATGGGGATCCCAGCCTGTGGCATCCCTCCATGGGGATCCCAGCTATCCACAGGGACTTGAGCCCACCCTGCCCTGGGCCAGGGTCCAGCCTGGCACTCCAGGAGGGTGCCACAAGAAGCCCCAGGAGCCTCAGGACCGCCTGACATTCCTTCACTGTGCTCCCAGCGTGGGGAGGAGCTGTGGCTTGGGATGTCCCGAGTCACAAAAAACAGGTTCCTCTCTCTCTCTCAGGGCTGGCCCCCTCCCCAATGAGCACCCATCCAGCCGAGGAACTCTGGCACGTCCCCATCCCCAAAGGGACCCCACCTTGTCCCCACACACGCTGGCAGGGTTCCCATGGGGACATGGCATGTCCCATCCCTAACAAGGGATGTCCTGGGCCCTGCCACATCCCCACACGCTGTCCCGTCCTCACACCCCTGTGCCCACAGCGACCACCTCTCCCTGCCATGTCCCATCACTGCCTTCCACACATCCATCCCCACAGGGCACCCATCATGTCCCCACTGTGATCCCCATTGTCCTCATCCCCACAGCGACCCCATCATGTCCCCACTGTGATCCCGATTGTCCCCATCTCCACTGTGATCCCCACTGTCCCCATCCCCACAGTGACCCCATCATATCCCCACCAAAACCCTCACTTGTTTCCATCCCCACAGGGACCCCACTCATCCCCACAGGGACCCCACTCATCCCCACATCCCCACAGGGACCCCATCATGTCCCCACTGCGATCCCCATTGTCCCCATCCCCACAGTGATCCCCATTGTCCTCATCCCCACTGCGATCCCCACTGTCCCCATCCCCACAGTGACCCCATCGTGTCCCCACCACAACCCTCACTTGTTTCCATCCCCACAGGGACCCCACTCATCCCCACAGGGACCTCACTCATCCCCACATCCCCCGGGACGCTGCCGTGCTCCACAGCACTCCCCACTCTCCCGTTCCCCACAGGCACCCCGTGTTTTCTGCACAGTGCCCCTCAGTGTCCCCATCCCCACAGCCCCCCACAGCCCCCCGCTTTCCCCCCCAGGCCGGGCAGCGGCGGCGCCTTTAAGCGGGGCCGGTGCGGCGGAGCCCCCGCCCGGGGGCCGGGCCGGGCCGCCCCCCGTAGCCTGGTAACGGCGGCTGTGCGGGCGGGGGCGGCCCCGGAGCCGCGGTCAGGTGGCACCGCCGAGACGGAGCCGGCCGAGCACGATAAAAGTCCCGGCCCGCCGCCGCCACGGCTGCGAGGGAGCGCGGAGCCGCCGCCCGGGAGCCATGGTAGGGCCGGGCCGGGCGGGGTGGGGGGTTCGGGGCGCTGGGGATGGCTCCGGCCGTGTGCCTGTCCCAGCCCGCCCCAGCCTGAGGGATCCCGGCGGGGAGCTTGGGATCCCCGCCGCGCTCGGGGTGCCGGGGCTGTGCCGTGGGACGGGCCGGGAGAGCGGGGGGCACCTCCGAGCTGCACTGCGGGCACGGCTCTGGGGGTGCCTCGGCGTGCAACCAGCCCAGCGCGGGCTGTGCGGTGACGGGGCTCCATCCCTGCATCCTCCTGCCCTCGGCACCCACTCCTGGCTCTGCACCCACCTCTGGTTCCTGCCCTCGGCACCCATTCCTGGCTCTGCACCCACCTCTGGTTCCTGCCCTCGGCACCCACTCCTGGCTCTGCACCCACCTCTGGTTCCTGCCCTCGTCACCCCCAGCTCAGCATCCTTCCCTGGATCCTGCTCTCCGCACCCCCTGCTCAGCATCCTTCCCTGGATCCTGCCCTCATCACCCCCAGCTCAGCCTCCTTCCCTGGATCCTGCCCTCAGCACCCCCAGCTCAGCATCCTTGCCTGGATCCTGCCCTTGCACTCCTGCTCTGGGGATCCATCCCTTACTCCTGCCATATCTCCCATCCCTGGATCCTGCCCTCGGCACCCCCAGCTCAGCATCCTTCCCTGGATCCTGCCCTCATCACCCCCAGCTCAGCATCCTTCCCTGGATCCTGCCCTCGTCACCCCCAGCTCAGCATCCTTCCCTGGATCCTGCCCTCGTCACCCCCAGCTCAGCATCCTTCCCTGGATCCTGCCCTCGTCACCCCCAGCTCAGTCTCCTTCCCTGGATCCTGCCCTCCGCACCCCCAGCTCAGCATCCTCCCCTGGATCCTGCCCTTGCACTCCGACTCTGGGCTCCCATCCCTGGCTCCTGCTCATCAGCCTGCTGGACCATCCCTGGCTCCTGCCCTCGCTCCCATCCCTGGCTCCTGCCCTCGCTGCCATCCCTGCCTCCTGCCCTCGCTCCCATCCCTGGCTCCTGCCCTCGCTCCCATCCCTGGCTCCTGCCCTCGCTCCCATCCCTGGCTCCTGCCCTCGCTCCCATCCCTGGCTCCTGCCCTCGCTCCCATCCCTGGCTCCTGCCCTGGCTCCTGCCCTCGCCCCCATCCCTGGCTCCTGCCCCCCACACTCTCCCGGTGCCCCCAGCACCCCGGTGGGTGCCCGCAGCTGCCCGGCCTCCCATCCAGCCCGGCTGCATGCACGGCCCTTGACTCAGCTCCGGAGCAGCTGCTTTGAGCAACACTGGTAATCAATGAGTGGCATTTGGCTGTAGGGAGATGAGGCAGGATCATAACCTGTTCGACTGGGCAGTAAATGAGCCTTTTATTCTGGAGGTTTGAGTGTTGGCAGATGCCTTAATATCATGTTGCAAGTTCAGTTTATCCCTAATGCCCCTGCCTCAGGAATGGTGGAGGATTAGCACTGACAAAACAGTTTTCCCTTAGATACACGGGATCAGCTGCCCCTGCTCTGGCAGGGAGTGGATTCCTCTCCCAGGCCTCTCTGTAAACCTTGGTGTTTGCTGGGTACCTGGTGGTTGGGATGGGCTCTGTGGCACTCTGGTTCCCAAGGAATGAGAAGGAAGGATCCCTAATTTGGGGGACGTGTGCTGTTCCCCGCTGGCAGAGAGATCTGCTCCCACGACTTGGCTGACGTGACCCTGGTGAACGTCAGGGGAGCAGTAATGCAGCAGGTTTTAATCGATTTGTGCCTGGAAGGTGTGAACGTGCAGCTCTGCCTGTTCTTCCTGCCCTCAAGGGCTCGCCTGGGTCCTGGACAGGGACACAGACATCCCGGTTTCCTCCAGGAACAAAGGTGAAATCCCGGGGATTTCATCCCAGCCCTCGCTGCGGGGTCTGCTCTGGGCTCTGGCACTGCTTCTTCCTTGGTCAGGGCAAGATGGAAATTTGCATGGCTTAATTCAATACCTGATCCCAGCTGGAATCTCGGAGCTGGAAAGCGAGAGAGCTCATGCTGCTCTAGTGCTAGAAACGTTCAGGGTGTGGGGGGAAATCTGCCTGAGGGAGGAAAGGGATGCAGAGCCACCACAAAAAAGTCTCAGGTCTCTGCTCTGGGAGCCAGAACCAGCTTTGTCCCACGGAGCAGCCACCTGCACGCCTGGGCATGCAGGACAAGGCTGGGAATGAGGAGTGGGGAAAAGGCACCTGGGCAGGGCAGTGGGGCCTGGGAGCACCACACACTGACCCCACCAGAGCCATCTGCTACAGGCTGTGCACCAGAGAAGCCTTCCAGGCTTCCTGCCACCATTGCAGGACTTTGAGGGGTAACACCTCAAACCAGGCACGGGAGCTTCTCCCAGCCCCTCCTCTCCAGGTACACAGCCCTCAGCACACACACACACATTTATCACTTCAGAAAGGACACTCTGAGCAGCCATAATCTGCTGAGAGGGCTCTGGTGTTTGGAAATAGCTGAGGAATCTCTGAACAGGAGTCCCAGCTCCCTGGATGCTTGGGAATAAAGCCAGGAACTGGGAGGCAGGCACTGCCCACCTTTCCCAGGGCACCTGTAGTGCAGGCAGTGCGTGGGCTCAGCTCACACAGCTACTCCCCTGCTTTAAAAATAGAATAAAATTATAATAATCAGGCAGGTTTGGGGTTCCCAGCAGGAAGGATCAACAGGTGCTGCCACAGTCACCCCTAGGCCAGGTGGGTAGGGGTTCCCAGGCCAGTGGGAATTAATTCTCATTTATTTCCACCATCCCACCCTGCAGTGTGCGGGGGTGTGCAGGTCCTTCCCTTCAGGGGCAAATGTGAATTTGCACAGCATCCCTGGAAAAGAGAATTCCCCCGTGCCTGGAGCAGCCAGAGCGACCTCCTGGGAGCCCAGGGGTGCTCACAGGGGAAGCTCCTCATGTAAACTCCATCTCCCCCTAAGTGATTAAAATTGGCCTCTCTTCCTGTTAGCCAGCACAGCCCCATGGGTGTGCTCGGAGCTGACCTCACTCCCTACAGCTACTGCATCCCCTCTGCTCCCAGCCAGCCCCTGCCCAGCCTTGGGAAGCGTGTGGAAGGCATGGGGAAGGCGTGGGCAGCCCCACGGGGAAGGGGAATGTGTGACCATCAGGTTCATCAGGCCGCCAGCTTTGAGCCCCCCGAGAAGCCAGGCAGCTGAGAGCCTGCACCAGTTGGCACTGCCCCTGGAAAAGGCCCGGCTGAGGCCGGCGTGGAGGCACCGGATTGTTTCCAGGACACGTTGCAGTGAATTTGCAGCTGCCTTCAATTTTATGGGCTCTGGGGTGGGCTGGGGCAGAGCACCAGGAGGGGCAGGCACAGCCCTGGGCCTGGTGGGGTCACACACCAGCAAACACACCGGGTCCCTGTGTTTTGTTGTGCTAACAGGGAAGAGATTGTGTCCCTCCTGTCAGCTGTGACCGCGCCGGGCACGGCTCTGTTAAAAACAAGGCTCCATCTTGCAGCACCCCAGGAGCGGAGCCAGGCGTGGGTCTGCTCCCTGCATGGGCCCCCCTGCTCCATCCACATCCCCCGGGTCACACTTGGACACGGGGAGCAGGGGATGGAGCTTTCCTCAACTCCACCTGCAATCCAGATGCCATCAGCTGGCGCTGGAATAATCCGTGGTGCTCCAGAAGAGGCGGAATCACCGCTGGGGCTGGAAACCAGCCCTCAGTGCTCAGCCGAGTGGGGAACCCACGCTGCACGCAACAGTCGGATCCCCTTCGTGCCTCCTCACAGCTTACTCCTGCTTTTAAAGCCTTTCCCACGCCTCCCAGGAGTTTTTCAGCAGGATGCAGGTGGCCAGGGCACCGCTCCGTGCTGGGGGAGCCCCATGCCCCCACTGTGCTCCCCAGCGAGCAGCATGCAGAGCCCGTGGCTCTGAGAGCACAGACGTGGCGTTTAAAAGAAAGATGGTTTGTTTTTCTTGCATCAAATCCTCTCGCTGCTTGCCGAGGGAGGCTTGTCCTCAGAGCAGAGCGAGGATTTATAAATACCAGCGTGCCCCAGGTGGTGCCCGCTGCCCGCTCTCTCTGTCCCTGCGGCCGGGAGCTCTCCCTGTGGCCAGAGGTTTGGCTGGCAGCTGGCAGGATCCAGCTGGAGAGGGAGCAGTGCCTGTTCCTGCTGTGGAAGGGGTGGCTGCATGGATCACAGCGTGGCAGGGATCACAGCGTGGCCGTGGGCAGCACCGCTGTCACGGGAGTTGGTGGCAGTGGGAATTGAGATGCTGCTGCCCTGCTGCCCTGCCTGGCAGCCCGAGCCTCTGCCCTTGGTGCCAAGTGGCATCCTCACATGAGACCTTGTGAAAACCTCACCACCCATTTTTCCTGCTGGGAGAGCGGCAGTCAGGGAGTGATTTTGGCTGGCAGAGCACTCAGACACTGCTCGGCCGGGTTAGAGCCACCAGCCCTGAGCCTGGTGCCAGCCCGAGGCTCGCTGCTGCTGTGGGGCGAGGGTGGCTCACCCTCAGCAGAGGCAGGAGGGAGCCTTGCCAAGCCCTGGCCTCATGCAGGGCACCGAGCACCCCGCTGGTGCCAGCAGGAGGGACACAGCCCTGTCAGCTGTCACCCCTCTGCAGGCAGCAGGCTGGGACAGCTCCTGAGGGATGCAGCCCGGGGAGCTGTCTGGACTCAGGGGCAGGCAGGGCTAAACTGCTTGATCGGGGGTCGTTGAGCTTCCCAGGAGAGCCCGGGACTGTTGCAGGGTGTCTCGTTGTGCGTTTTTGGGCATGATTCCCCTTTTTGTGGATCCTCTGGGAAGTTACTGGTGTGTTCTGGCAAGCGCGGGGACCCAGCTGTGCTGGGAGCTGCACAAGCAGCCAGGCCTGCTCAGAGCTCCGGGCAGACAGATTATTATCTTGATTTAACATCTGACAGCTCCCATCCTGCTCGCAGAGGCCAGCCCAGGCTGCCAGCAGAATCAGTCGGGGTTTGGTCGCAGCATCCTCCGGCTCAGCCCGGATCACCCCGCCTGCTCCCCTTCCTTCTTTCCCGTTCCAAACCCGAGCCACTCGACCTTTCCATGGTGAGGACGTGCTGATGGCTCTGACCCGCGCGAGAGGAGCCTGTAATGGCTCCGGGAGCACAACCAAAGGCAGGAGAGCAGAGCCAAGGGCTGGGAAGAGGAGCCAGCGGCTCCCACTCGTTCTCTGGGCTCCCGGCTCTGCTCTGGGCTCCCTTGGACTCAGCACAAGCAAGCCCTGACCCCAGAATGGCTGCAGTTTGTGCTGTGTGCTGAAATTTATTTGAAATGCCACTCTCCAGGACTGTTTCTGAAGCAATTTGCTGTTCAGCCTGGCTGGGAAGAGCCCTGAGCAGGCTCGTTCATTCAGCGCCTGCGATATTGACTCTTCTCTTTACTGCAGGATTAGAGAGCATTTGTCATCTCCAAAATGAATAACTTTTCCTCTCCTGGGAGGGGGGAGAAGCCTTGCCTCAGTACTGACATTTTGCACACCCAGCCCACAAACCTGCTTCAAATCCCAGATGATGATCTGGGAATTAAACCAGGGGCTTCAGCGTCTCTGTTCCATGAGCAGGGCCCACCCTGCATTAAACCCACAGCCCAGAGGGAGAGAGGCCTGGGGGAGCTCTCACCTGCCCAGGTAGCAGCCCCATGGTTGTGTTCCTGCCACACAGCCCAACAGAAACTCAAGTGCCTCAGGGACGAGCCTCAGCCTCAGCTCTCAAGACGGAGGAGCTGCGTTAACAGGCAAACAAACCCTTAAAAATCAGAGCAAACCACCCGGCAGCACCAGAATAAGAAGGCAGAAGCTCAGACTTGCCAACTCATTGTCTAGAGCCCGACCAGTTCTCCCTCCTGTCCTGGAGATCACAGTACTCAACTCACAAACTCGCCCTGTTTGTCATTTGAGCTTCCAGAGGTGTTTTCAAGTCTCTCTCAGGAGGTCCAGGAGCCAGCAATGCTTTCCCGTGGGAATTCCAGCCTTTGTTAACAGGACCGCGTTCCCAGGAATGAAAGCAAGAGAAACAAACTCCAGCTGTTGCGAGATTTGGAAGGGCAGAGCCACGAGCGTTGCCGGCAGCAACCTTTCCACAAAACACCGACCTCGGCATCGGCAGCGCTGCGTTGCTTTGGAAATCCTCTTACCTGGAAAGGGGCTGCTCTGGGGCCAGGAGATCCAGCCCAGGTGGGATACAGCCAGGGCACCTGCCCCTCCTCCTGAGAGAAGCACGAAGCTCAGCCTGGAGGTGCAGCAGGAGGTACAGCTGAGAGCTGCGGAGGGTTGGTGGGTGCAGGATGAGATCCAGGCTGGAGAAGTGTCCCCTCGCCATAAACCTGATGCTGGTGCTGGCCAGGAGCGCCGGGAGAGGACCTGGAGGCTTTGAAGACAGAGTGTTCTCCAGGCTGTAATTAGCCACTGGCTTCCCCCACCCCTGATTATGCAGAGGAGGGAAATGGCAGAACCCACCAGTCTGCCAGCGAGGGAGGAGGCAGCTCCAGTCCTGCCCCTGCCACCCCAGGGACCCCTGCCACCCCACGGGGCACTGGCTGGGCTCTGCGCGTGGGCAACACCAAGGCACTGTCTGAAAGGGATTCGCTGTGGGTCAGGGCTGCTGCAAGATCAATTAATTCATTAACTGGAGTCAGCCCAGAAAAAGGAGGATGCGATGGCAGAACACCTGGTTGCTACCAGCCCACTGCCAGCCCGTCTTCTCCCAGAGGACCATCTGCACCCTCTGGGGATGTCAGCCCTTTGCAGGACACCCCAGTGACATTCCAGCTCCTCTGGAGAGCACTTCCAGTGCTGCTGGAGTGACAGTTCTGGATCCAGCCCTTGGACAGGCTCCAGCACCCCGGGGCGCCGGCTTTGGGCTGGTGTGACTGCCCAGCCTGTGCCAGCACTGAGAAACCCAACCAAGGAGCAGTGGGAGAAGAGGTGGCGTTTTTATTTCACATGAGGCGGTGCACCCCGGCTGTACCTGGCAGTGCAGAGGCTGAAGGGGCAGCGGGTGCCCCTCCCTGTGCCCTGCCAGGAGCCTCTTGTGCCATCAGCCTTCCGGCTGTGTGAGTGCTTTGTTCCATCTTCAGCGATTTTCTCCTTTTTTTTTTCTGCACTCAGCAACGCCTGGGAAGAGGCTTTTCATTGCTTTTCCCTTTCTCTGCCCCAGCACAATGGCGGGAAAGGCTGCGTGGAGAGCAGCACTGTTGGATTACATGGGGTGTGCTGGGAAAGGCAAAGGAGCTCTCCCGGGAGCAGGGCAGGGGATGCAGGGCTGGCCAGGAGGGATGCAGGGCTGGGCAGGAGGGGTGCAGGGCTGGGCAGGAGGGATGCAGGGATGCAGGGCTGGGCAGGAGGGATGCAGGGCTGGGCAGGAGGGATGCAGGGCTGGCCAGGAGGGATGCAGGGCTGGGCAGGGGCTGCAGGGCTGGGCAGGAGGGATGCAGGGCTGGGCAGGAGGGCTGCAGGGCTGGGCAGGAGGGATGCAGGGCTGGGCAGGAGGGCTGCAGGGCTGGGCAGGAGGGCTGCAGGGCTGGGCAGGAGGGATGCAGGGATGCAGCCCTGGGCACGGAGGAAGGCTCACAGCTGCGTTCCCAGCTCCCTGCATGGCAGCAGCTGCTCAGCCCGGTGTGTGTGGGCAGCAGCGTGGCTCTGTCACATGCCTGAGACAGCACGGTGGCATCCCAGCCACCTCCAGCACGGGAGGGGACATGGCAGCGGGCACCGTGCTGGGCACCCCAGTGCCGGGCACCATCAGCCCCCAGGCACGTGGTTTGTGGGCACAGCAGCCTCATCTCTCACTGCAAGAATGAGATTCTCCACAAAATATTCTGTCCTTCTGGCTGAGAGCTGCTCTGGATTGGGGGGGAGCTGTGCTGGCCATTCCAAGCCCCGGGGATGGATGTCCTGTGTGCCTGGGATGTGACAGCTTGGATGGAGCAGCTGTGGCTGCCCCTGGGGCCCTGGAGGTGTCCAAGGCCAGGCTGGATGGGGCTGGGAGCAGCCTGGGACGGAATGGGATGGAATGGGATGGAATGGAATGGGATGGAATGGGATGAGCAGGTGTTTATCCCCAGAGTTTGCAGAGCGAGCCCAGCCTGTCACATGCAAATCCCCGGATAAGTTCCTGCCTGCAAACAGGAACCACTTTATGGAAAGCAGCAGAGCCCTTCCCCAACAGCCCCAGGAGCGCTCTGGCTCCTCCAGGAGCAGCTGGAGGCTCTGCCAGGCTCAGGACTGCTTTGGGGTGGCACTGCTCTCATCCAGCAGCGTTTCCCAGGTGATTCACCTCCGCTCTGGGGCTTCCAGGAAAGGAAGGGGATGGTGGCCCCATCCTCAGCTTTTCAGGAGCACGGTGCTGTGGCTCTGGCTCAGCTCTGCCCCTCCCATTCACAGGAACAGGGGGTCCCCAGTGGGTGGCTTGGGCACCATCAGAAGGACACACACCTGGCCCAGCTCTCTGGGCCTGGGTGGATGCTAAAGGAGACATTAGAGCAAATTCATTACTTAAGTGACTTAATTTTTTTCGAGCCATGACTTCTGTGCCAGCCTCAGATTCCTCTGGGCTCACCATGATTCTGAGTGGCGTGTTGGCAAGAATTGGTGCCACGGTGGTGTTGGCAGCAAGTGCCACCCTGAGTCCTCCGTCTCTGTGTGGGGAAGTGCTCCTCCCTCCCCGTTCTTGGACCCTCACCTGTAGTGGCAGAGCCCAGTGCAGCTCCCAGTCCAATCTGTGCTCCTTTGTCTCCCCAGCTCGGCGTTGGACACGCTCCCTGAGCCGCCCCAGCCTCAGCAGCCCGGAGCACCGCGGTGCCCTCCGTGACCTAAGCAGGACTTGTACCAAGCGTAAGTGCCCAAATCCTTTGCATTGTCAGCAAGAGCTGCTTGAGAGCAGGGATTTCCCTGCTCAGAGAACTTTATTCCTCTGAAAAAACACACCTTTCCTTGCTGCTCCAGCTGGGTGACTGCAGTGGGGGGAAGCTGAGCACTTGTAGCTGTAGCAAAAGCCTCACTGGGGCAAAAACTTTTGCGGCTTTAGGTCCACAGCTTCAGAAGTTGCTCAAGTAGCTGCCAGCAGGGAAGAGCCACGGAGGAGGCCACATTATGCTCATTAAGTTTCTGTGCCACAGAGCCAGAAATCCACTGGCAGCACCACCAGCCACTGCTGGGACCTGCAGGTGCTTCCCAGAGGGCAGACACTGAGGGCTGGGGAAGCCACAGCCCTTTAAAGGACCCTCTTAACATAATTAGGAATTGCTGGAGGGACAGATTCCTGTCCTCAAGGCCCCCGAGCATCCCCCAAGTCCCCTCAGCTCTGCCAGTGCCACCAGGGTGGGCTCAGAGGTACCTGGGCAGGGACTCCCCAGGCTGCACAGACTGGAGCCTTTCCCGTGCCCTTCTCCAAACAGAGAACACACAGACTGGCAAATTACTGATACTCCAGGGCTCGTTCCCTTGCCTGCAGCTTCTCCCCTGGCTTTGGAGGTGCCCCAAAGGAGCAGAGGGAGTCCAGGCAGGGACCCTCCAGGCCCGTGGGCGATCCCAGGCCTCGGCAGAGCGCGTCTCTGTGCCAAGCATTAGTCAGGCACTAAAGCAGGACAAGAGCCTCCCCTGTCCCAGCCCCTGCTCCTGGGTTTTACTCCCAGCTTCTGACATAACCAGGTCACTCTTTCCACACTTCCCCTGCTTCCGTGAGAGCCGATGACTGATGGGGATGGACGTGACTCACAGCCTTTCCTAATGAGCCATTTTCCTCCGTTGATCTGCTTTGGTGGGGCCTTTCCTACACCTAAAAAGGAGAAGGGTGGCACTGGGGAGAGGTGCTGGAAATTGCTGGCATCTGCTGTTCCTCACCATCCCTTTGAACTGTGGCCAGCTGTGAGGCTGCTGTGTTTAAGTATGGAAAAGGTGCAGCTCCTCCTCCACGTGCTGGTCCGGGTGAGATGCTGTCCAGGCTCACAGGTAAACCCTTGGCGAGTAATTGGAGTTAATTAGGCTGAAAGATGTTGTTGTTGCTATCTGTCCAGGCAGTGCCTGGGGGACAGCGGTAATGAGCACTGTGAGCCCAGCCCCACACTCCCCAGGGAGCTTTGCCAGGCCACAGCAGGGCGAGCTGGGCTCTCCTGTTGCCTGGCACGGACACGGGTGAGGGACGGCTCCCCGCTCATGTTCCTCACTTGTGTTTTGCAGTGACTAAGCAGCGGGAGCTCTCGCCGTCCTGCTGCCACCGGGCCAGACAATCCCTCCCTTGGCTGCACATCCCCTTGGCTCTCTTCCCATGATGGAAGCCTGAGCGCCAAGATCCTCCATGACCTCCAGAAGCCACAACTCCCTGCCGAGAACTCTGATGGCTCCGCGAATGCTCTCCGAAGGTGCCCTGGGGGGCATCGCCCAGATCACGCCCTCGCTGTACCTGAGCCGGGGCAGCGTCGCCTCCAACCGGCACCTGCTGCTGTCGCGGGGCATCACCTGCATCATCAACGCCACCATCGAGATCCCCAACTTCAACTGGCCCCAGTTCGAGTACGTCAAAGTGCCTTTGGCCGACATGCCCAACGCCCCCATCTCGCTGTACTTCGACAGCGTGGCCGACAAGATCCACAGCGTGGCGCGGAAGCACGGCGCCACGCTGGTGCACTGCGCCGCCGGCGTCAGCAGGTCGGCCACGCTCTGCATCGCCTTCCTCATGAAGTACCACAAGGTCTCCCTCTTCGAGGCCTACAACTGGGTGAAGTCGCGGCGCCCCGTGATCCGGCCCAACGTGGGCTTCTGGAGGCAGCTGATAGACTACGAGAGGAAGCTCTTTGGGAAGACCACGGTTAAAATGGTACAGACACCCTATGGCATCATCCCAGACGTTTACGAGAGAGAGAGGAGACCCCTGATGCCTTACTGGGGAATTTAATGGGACCGCAGACGGGAAGCACAACGGGAGGGACGCGCTCTTCCGAGTCCACCAGCCTGGAGACGGTCCCTTCTCCTTCTACGGCCAACTTTGGTTCTTTACCATACAGCAGAACCTCAATTCTCACCTCACTAACCTGCAAGGCCAACGATTCCCTTCAAAGCAGTTTTCTCTATGGGGATTTCCCATCTGCATCTCCGATTTAGCAAAACCAGGTCTCATTATAAGTTTATTCCTTCCATTAAGCCTCCATATTTTTTTTCTTTTATTTAGTCAAGTTTATTAGGATCCTCCAGGGAAGAGCCTAAGGGGGCACTGGGCAGAGCAGATGTCCCAAGTGCGCAGTAGTAGCCTGGATATTTTCTGCTAGCTTGTTTGCTTCCTTGCAAAACCCTGTAGTGGCTCAGGAGCAGCACCAGTGGGGCCTGCTCCACAGCAGCAGGTTTTCCAAGCACCAGGGAGGCAGGAATACAGGGGCTGTGGTGCTGGTGCTGGTGTTTTCTTTAACATCCGTAGTGATTCTCAGTATATAGTGTTTGAGATCTTTAGTCAGCTCTTAATCGTATTCAAAGTTAGGGGGGAAAAAAAGGGAAAAAAACCAACAAGATTGAATCAGTCCATGTCGGCCACAAGTAAAATAAAAATTGAGCAATTCAAATCAAATAAATACAAGATCCTTTTTCACTCATTCCATACCAGGGCAATAGTCTTGGAATACACTTCCAACTACTGGAAAATGCTGGTGTGTTTTGTGGGTGGAAAGTTGACAGATCTTGTCCAGATGTGGCTCGAGGCAGAAGCGAGAGGGTTGATGCCACTGGGCAGCCAAAGAGACGCTCAGGAATGTGTGTGTGTCCCCTGCTGGGCTGTGTGTGCCAGCATCCCTGCAGCCAGGACAGGGTGAATGCCCTGGGTTCCTTAGCTGGGCTGTGCCAACATCCCTGCAGCCAGGATAGGGTGAATGCCCTGGGCTCCTCAGCCAGGACAGGGTGAATTCCCTGGGCTCCTCAGCCAGGACAGGGTGAATCCCCTGGGTTCCTCAGCCAGGACAGGGTGAATCCCCCGAGTTCCTCAGCTCTGGCTCCGCTCTGGACCTGCCTTAGCCCATTCCTGCCTCTCTCCATTCCGTCCCCAAGGTTATGCTGCATTCCAGGGTTGCTCCTGTCTGTCCCCAGGCGGGTGACAGAGGCCTGGCCTCGCTCAGAGCGTGCCAGGAGCGACTCCAGCCCCAGCCCTGCCCTGGGAAAAGCCTTCCCGTGGCTCCAGGGGCAGGACTGTGCGGAGTCAGGCTCACTTCCTTGGAGTGTGACTGGAGCCCAGCAGAGCCCCGCTCCTGAGAAGGCACCAGAGTTTCTGTTGCCTCTGGAGGAGGAGCAGGCAGATTGCTGCCATCGCTGTCTGATTTAAATGAGATTCTATACTTGTAAAAAAAAAAATCAATAAAGATTAAACCAGAACATGTGTTGGTTTCCTGTTCCAAACGATGCTAACGGAGCTCCAGCAGCAGCCTGAGGCCCAGCAGTGCCTTTAAACAGTGGTGGCTGAAGGATGTTTTCTCCTGCTTTTCTAGATGAGTTTGGCCCCACTAAATAAAGGTGATGTTTGCCATCAGCTGCTCCCAGCATTGCTGGATCCCAGTTCCAGTGGCAGGCAAACACAGGAGACTCACCTCCCACATTTATCAGGAATTAAACTGCAGCCAGGGAAATGGTAAGCAAGGAACTAGAGAGTGAAAATAAAGATTAATCACTGGTCTGGAGATATTCCAACACATGACATTTTAAAGGGAAAAAAATGCTAAAAACTGAAATATGCTCACAAAATTAAACTTTACCTAAAAATGGGCAAAGTAGGGTTTAACAGCATTTTTGGTATAAAAAAATGGAAGGTTAAAAATTCTCCACTTTGAATTATTCTTTAGATTTTATGCACATACTGCCTGAGGACTGAGGGGAGAGGGAGATGCTGATACTCAGCCAAGAAGGCACCAAGGGCTGGCTTTAAACACAAGGGGAAGTTAGACCTATAAAAAGTGAAATTGCCTAATAAAATACATGAGGAAACAATTCACCTGAAATCCCCATTCAAGGTTATATTACAGTCTTAGTGCTTGTGGGGATTTCACTGCAAAAGCTCCTCTTGTATTCACTACAGCAAAAGATTTTACACAAGTGTTTTCCCCCTCAAAATCCAGTTTTTTCTCCATTCTCAAACGTACAGAAACCAAAGAAAAAAGAGCCCTGGTTTGGCTTGGATTGCTCTGAGCACACCCACTGCCTTTGAGAGGAACACTCCTTCTCCTGCTCCCCACAGGCTTTTCCAAATGGCATCTTAATTGTCTGGAAAATATTTTATATCTTCCAGTATTTGGTGAGACACCTTCCCCATCCCAGGCACAGAGCAGGTTCCACCTACATGATGATGTAAATATTTCAGCTTCCCAGGCTGGTCAGATATGAAACGAGCTTTTTATTGAACACCAGGTTTGAATCTCAACAGAGGATTTATAAATCATTGCAGGAATTAAGGGAGTAAACAAGGTACTAAAGTCAATTAATAACACTTATTCTCACTGGATTTAAAATATCAGCAGCAACTCCAGCACAGCACAAACCCAAACAGCTCCAACTAATAATCACAAAACCACTTCTGGAGGAAAAATAACATTTGCCCAGAGGGCAGGAGAAGAAACACAATAGAAAGAGAAGTTTTCCGATTGCTCTTCTTCATAAAACGATGACATTCCTATTTTAACACTGACAACTGGAATTAAACACAGGTGCAGAACTCAAAGTAAATCCAAAGCAGCAGTTTGTACAATAGCAGCTTTTATTGGAAAGGCAGGTTTTGTTTCAAGTTGATGATTCCCAGTGCACTGACGGGACTCGGAGCGGTCCATGGGTGCCCACGAGCTCCTGGTGACCTTCACCCACAGCCTGCAGGGACTGCAGGGAGGAGCTGCTCCCACCAACCCAGCCAGGAGCAGCTGCTGCCAGCGAGGAAAGGTCCTCGGAGAGCAGGAGGGGGCAGTGCCCGGGGCACAGTGACCCCCGAGGGGCTGCAGGACTCACAGCCCAACGCCAGGAGCAGGGGAAAGGCTGGAGCAGCCCCAGCAGCAGGGAGGAGCTGCCAGGGCAGGGCAGCACCAGGAACACACCGGGGTGAAGCCATTAAATAAAGCCATTTAAATACATTAAATAACCGAGCAAATAATTCCTCAGAAGTCCAAACGTACACACAGAGACAGAAACTCCACTTTCCACAGGTCACGCCAAGGCAGCCTCTTTTATCTATCTACACGTAGATAAAAAACCAAGAAAATCTCATTTCTCTTCTCCAGTGAGAGAATCCATGCAGGAAAAGGAGTTACAGGTCTGAAATTGGACACAAGCAAAGGGAAGGCAGCGGGGAAGGTGGGCTGTGGCAATCCTGTCACCTTGGATACAGCCTGGAAGGACACTGGGCTTTGGCTGGCAACAACATCGAGAGGATGCAGAATGCTCCGTGAGTCACTGGAATGACTGGGATCTGCAGCTGATCCTCCTCGAGCAGTTTTACCCAGGGGACTTCCCTGGGTTCCCATGGCTGGGAGCAGAGCCCTGCCTGCCCCACAGGACAGGGATGGACCTGCTGCTGTCCCTGCTGTGGGGGCAGGAGAGCAGCAGTGTCCCCCTTCAGTGAGCTCTGCTGCAGCTGCAATTGTAAATGTCCATTCCTTTCCTTTTTGTATGGGCCAAAAGAAATGGCTGCAGCTCAGGGAGGGCCTCACCTGGTGACAGGGACAGAGAAACCAGCACGGAAGATGTTCCTGTGACAATACAGCTGGTGCTTTAAATTTCACACCATGGCCTCTTATTTGTGGCATTTTCTTTCAATTAGGGGAAAAAAAATTCCTCTCTAGCAAAGTGTTGGGGAGCTGTGGTGGCTGAAGTAAACTCCCTTTTCCCAGTACAGCATTCCCTCAGCACCAGCCTCTCCCAGCCACTGGAGAATACCTGCCAGTGGCTCCCAGTCCCCAAACTCCCGTGGGAGCACTGGTGAGGGGCACAGCAGCCTCACTGTGCTGGAAAACAGGGGCTGTGGGCACAAGCTGTGGTGCTGGAGCTCTCTCCCACCTAATCAACGAAAGGGAGGGAAGCAAGGAGTTGTTTCCCTGCTTTTTTGGTAATTGCTGGGCAGGATGTGGGAAGCACAGCACGGGAAATCTGCCTCTGGATCAGCTGCAGCTGGAGGCACACGGTGCTTTAGTTCATGAATGAGCTAATTTGAGGCAGCAAGGAGATTTATGGTAATTGGTGTAAGGAAGGAGCCAGACACCTCTGAGCCAAGATTCTTTCATTTGGGCTAATTAATAGTTTTGTTTAACTAAGCCTGTTTGTTTTTTAAATACAAAGCATCGTTCTCCTCATTGTAATTTCTGTTTCAGCAAATAACCACAGGTCAGTGTCAGGTACTTGTAATGGGGGAAGGATTAACTCGGAGAAGCTGTTGAGCTCTCTGGAGGAAAGGAACAGATCCAAGAGACTAAGCCAAAGAATTAAGGAGAAAGTTGTGCCCTATGGATTTACACTCCCTGCAGACCTAGACAGGGCCATGGGATGTAACACCATGAAGCTCCCCCAGGTTTAAAATCCAGCACTCCATTGACTGCACAGTCCTCTGGATACTGGATCTGAAGGAGGAACCAGGTGCTTTGGATGTACAGGTAACATTTAGTGCGAGTCTGTGACACAAACCTGTCCAGAGGCACCTCCAAAAGCCACCAACCAGCAGGGACACAATGCCTGCTTCAAACACAGCCTGCTGAGACCACCAAATTCCAGGGTTAAATCCCTTTGGCTGTTAAATCTCACTCCCTGCTGCAGGATCCACCTGGTGCTGCCAGCTCTGAGTCACAGGAACACAACACGTTGCTACAGGTAGCAGCAGACTGCAGGAGTCACACACGGCCCTCCCATCCCATCAGAACAGCATCTCCACAGCCAAAAAAGGGAAAGAATCTCCACAGCAGCAGATGTGCTGCACCAGCAGAGTCCAGCGTTCAGCAGCGCTGCAGCCACACAGCTCCCAAAAGGTCAGGAGAGACAAAACCCTGCCTGGAGCTCAGGACACAGCCAGGGAAGTTTGTATTTACAACAAAGACTGAGTTTTAAACTCCAGCTGCCATACTACAGAATCCACACAGCACAGGAGAATTACAGCAGTTTCCCAGCCCTCACCTTCCAGCACTAACCAGTTCTGCACCCAGCACAACTTGAAGCACAAATACCCAGCAGCTTCTCCCTCTGAGTCAATAATTCATTCTGCCTGGATGCTGCTGTGACTCATGTGCTGTGATATCACAGCAGCAAATACTTAAATAACATCAAGGTCTGTGTCCCAAAAACGTTAAGGAAAAGATTTGCTTGCAAATACAGACTTCAAGTATTTAAGTGGTTGTTTCTATGCAAATCAGCCCAGCATTCCAGGTTCTCTGGGAAGCTCCATGCTGGCCTCTCCCAGGTTTATGCACATGGTTACCAGGCTGCTTTTACACAGGATAACGTTTTCATCTTCAGAAAGACCAAAATGCCCTTTTTTTTTTTTTTGCCATACCACATATTTTCCAGTTATTCCTGACACCTCGGCCATTACAAGTGAATTCTTCACCATCTGTACCAGTGGCTTTAATCCATTGATTTTTGGACCAAAACTCAACCCCAAAGGTGTCAAAGCCTGAGCCCAGCTGCAGCCTCTCCAGCAGAGCAGTCACCCCGAGTCCTGCACGATGGCACCCAGAGCTCAGCTGCAGGGCAGCTGCTCTCAGAGCAGGTCTGGCAGGATGAGACCCGGGGGTTTGGGCTCCACGCAGTTGATCCAGAAGTTGGCACAGCTGGCGTGGTACTGGTGCCCTCCATATGCCAGCTTGAAGTTATCTGTCTCGGAATTAAAGGCCTGCAAGAAGAATTGGAACAAGTGTGACGGCCTGATCCCCTCCAGGGTCTAAACCCAGAGTGGGAAACAGCACAGGACTCTCCCCTGAGCGCTCCACCCCATCAACTCCATTGGATTTCAGCTGCAGGGGGACAAAACCTTCAGCCACCACAGCTGAGCCAACCCAGACCTGCAGGAAGGGAGCCCTGGCAGCTCACTCACCTTGCTCCCTGCACCTTCTGGTTCTGTTCCACCTCCCTACCGCAGGAGAAGCTTGTCCTGCTTGCCAGCAGACAGCTCCTGCATTTATTTCCCTGGCTCCAGCCTGGCTGTGGGTTAGGCAGGTGCAATTCTTGCTATTAGTGTTACTTCAGGTAGAATTTGATCTACTTCCCCCTGTTAATTGAAGCTGCTTTACAATAGGAGCCTCTGAGCGTGTGAAGCCATGAACAGACTGAAACCACCTCGCTGTTTGTTGCTAGGAGATATTTTCCAATGCCTCACAGCTCTCTATTTTAAAAAAATATCCCAGCCCTGCTCTCCA